TCACCCCTTCCCAAAATTACTTCAACGGAAGGTTTCCAGATGGATATGTGGAGCAAATCCATCTGGCGGAGTCAGGTTACCAGGATGCTTTCATAGTGTCTAGCCTTTAGCTCATCCACAGTGTTGGGTCTTGTGTCTCTTAACTTTCTCTTCACAATATCCCACAGATTCTCTATGGGGTTCAGGTCAGGATAGTTGGCAGGCCAATTGAGCCCAGTGATACCATGGACAGTAAACCATTTACCAGTGGTTTTGGCTCTGTGAGCAGGTGCCAGGTCATCTTCATCTCCATGAAGCTTTTCAGCAGATGGAAGCATGAAGTGCTCTAAATTCTCCTGATAGCTGCATTGACCCTGCCCTTCATAAAACCCAGTGGACCACAGTGTTTCCCCATTAATGAAGGTTTGGGCCCGCCATGGTCTTCTATAGACACAGAGAGAGAGACAACAACAAAAGATCTGTCTGTTTATCAGACCATTTCACAGCTGTACTTTCATACCGCCCGTAACCCAGCGCCTAGAGAGACAAATTGTTTGTTATATTTTTTTCAAAGCGCGCGGCCCGCCCTCCTTTATAAAAATGCCGCCGCAGCTGCCCGGTTCGCCCGAGCAGTCTTGCCAACTCAGCGACTTTGTCGCTATATTTAGCCACTTTTATCATGATATGCTAATTTTGTGAGATAGGAATGTTGGTTTTTCATGAGCTGGATGCCAAAATCATCCATATGACGACAATAAAAGACCTGAAATATTTCAGTTAGTGTGCAATGAATCTAAAATATATATATCTTAAACTTTTATCTTTACATTATGGAAGATAATGAACTTTATCACAATATGCTAATATTTTGAGAAGGAGCTGTACTTTCTAGCCATGCCAGAGGGGTTTGGGGTCATGGGATCAGACAGCCTTTTTAGGCATCCAACAGCTAAAAGGTGCTACCAATCATGAGTTAGACCCTGGTCCTCAAGATGCTGTTCATGCCGACGTGCAGACTACACGTTTGTCGGGAGCTACGGCAACAGCTGATGTAGCAAAATCTGACTGTGTGCGAGTTAAAAATAAGGGTTTGTGCTTTCCTCTCTGAACAAAACTTTTCATTCACACTAGATATAGATGCAATTCTGCCATCTTCTGGCCGTTTTTGGTATTGGATTTTTAAAAGTCAAATTTAGTCTTCAATCATTGGAGCACAGCCTGCAGAAGCAAGCACCTGGTTGAGCTAACTTCCTGCTCCTCAGTGCCTTGAGATGACATGCGTTGTGAACTGGTGCTATATAAATAAACTGAACTGAAACTGCTCCAGCTGCTAACTGGCTCACCATCTCACCCAGTCTCCTCAGCCATACCCAGTACCATTTATTGTTCAGACCTTCATCTATGGTGGTGACATCTTCCCTGGAGTTCATGAACTGCATGGTTCCCGCTCCACGCCATTCCGTTCTCTCTATCGTCCTTCTCTCCAAACAGAGTTTTATTTATTTATTTTCTGTCTTAACACGTCTCTCTGCTGAATGGAGCCCTAAACGGTGCAGGTGACTTTCCCTTTAGCAATGAACCACAATCCATCTGGAGCAAGAAACGACAGCAGGAGGTACACGCTTTCCTAAGACCCGCCCCCCTTCTTCTGATTGGCTAATACTGTTAGTTTCAGAGGGCTCCTTTTCTACCATTGGCTGACAAACGCAACAGGGGTTTTAATTCTTTTTATTTTTATTTATTTACCGTCATTTTATTTCTAGGGATTTTATTACCCACAGGCAATCGCTGCGAGAAGGAAATCCAGCCTGGGGCCGGAATACTTTAATCCCTGCTGATGTTATAGGCGATTTTCTCATAATGGATTATTGTTATTACTAATATTCTGGATTACTTTTAATTCTGGGCTTTTAGTTGTAAAAGCTTTAAAATGGATCGCCGGGTTTTTAATGTACCGTTTTATTCTGTGAAATCAGTCCTGCAACACTACGCAGTTCTCTTTAATACAAGCCTTACTCATGGTGTTGCAACATTAGCCACACCAGGCTTTTAGCTAGCAATGGGAGCGTATTGTACGCCCTGTACTAAAAAAATGACCAACAGTACACCCTATTTTTATTTCCCCCCGGAAACTTTGATCAAATGCTCAAAATTTCACAACTAGATGCTGGATTAAAAAGTTGAACTTTAGCTGCTGGACG